TTTGTTCAATGCGCGGCCCCAGAAGCCTCGACCACTTCCCTTGGGCCAGTTCCTCGCCCCGGATCCATTTTTGGTGTCCCTGGGACGGGACGGGACTGGCGCCGACACCGCTCCACGCGCATGCGGGGAGCGCCTACTGCGCAGGACGGGGGTGGGGCCATAGCCCTTCAAAGTGCATCTACTCAACCTATCGTCGTCGAGGACAGTGCGGGCGTCGCTTCGCAATATCACTCGTGATTTCTAGATCCCAGGAGAAAGCTTTGTATGTCCACTTATGCCCATGAAGACTTTTGGTGGCCCCCGAGGGCTGAAACCGACGAAGATCCGTCTGCTGCACGGTGGCCAGGCTGGGTGGCAACGTCCAAGCCCTACCCCTATCAGCTATCGACGCTCCTGAATCGATGGGAGGCGGGGGCATGGTTCGGAGTTCGCCACGTATGCCACGAATTTCGAGCCCTACCCCTGGCCGAGTTGATAGAGTCCCCCTATATGAGGTCCTAGTAGATGGGGTCGGAGGATCGCGCCGCATCGCCGATGCATCGGCGATGTACCGGCGACGTCGGCGATGCATCGGCGACGCCAGCGTGGAGAAAATCGGGCTCCGTATCGAGCCGCATCGCCGATGCGGCGCGATCATCCGACCTCATCTACTCGGAACCCCCTTTGGGAGGCCCACGATCCATCATCATCACCTGCATCATCATCGTCATCATCATCATCATCAGCAGCAGCATCAGCATTAGCATCAGCATCATAATCATCATCATCATCATCATCATCATCATCATCATCATCAACATCATCATCATCATCATCATCATCATCATCATCATCAACATCATCACCATCAGCATCAGCCGCAATTTCGGCATCACCATGGGCATGAGCAGCAGCCTCCTCCTCCTCCTCCTCCTCCTCAGCAGCAGCAGCAGCAACAGCAGCCGCAGCATGATCCGCATCTGCATCGTCATCATCATCATCATCATCATCATCATCATCATCATCATCATCATCATCATCATTATCATCATCAGCATCATCAGCATCATCAGCATCATCATCATCATCATCATCATCATCATCATCATCATCATTAGCAGCATCATCACCATCATCATCAGCATCAGCAGCATCGTCATCATCGTCATCACCATCATCAGCATCATCAACAGCTGCAGCAGCATCAGCATCATCATGAACATGAGCAACAGCCTGTTCATCATCACCACCATCATCATCATCATCATCATCATCAACATCATCATCATCATCATCATCATCATCATCATCATCATCATCATCACCATCATCACCATCAGCATCAGCCGCAATTTCGGCATCACCATGGGCATGAGCAGCAGCCTCCTCCTCCTCCTCCTCCTCCTCCTCCTCAGCAGCAGCAGCATCATCATCATAATCAGCAGCAGCATCATCCGTATCAGCATCGTCATCATCCTCAGCATCAGCATCAGCATCATAGCTACATCAGCAGCAACAGCAGCATCATCATGAGCATGAGCAACAGCCTCATCACCATCAGTCACAGCATCATCCGTATCAACATCCTCATCATCATCTGCATGAGCATCAGCATTGTCATCATCACCCTCATCATCATCGGCATCAGCAGCATCATCCGCATCACCATTAGCATGAGCAACAGCCCCATCGTCACCATCAGCAGCAGCAACAGCATCATCCGTATCAGCATCGTCATCATCAGCATCAGCATCAGCATCAGCATCATCAGCATCAACATCATCACCATCAGCATCATCATCATCAGCAGCAGCATCATCATCGTCAACATAATCATCATCATCAGCAGCAGCATCATCATCAGCATCATCTGGGCACGAGCCACATTCCAGCAGCGCGACCGAGTCACCGCAGGCAGTGCAGCGACGGCGGGTGCGAGTCGCCGCTGAGGCGCCCAGGGGTGGGCAGCTGGCTCGCGGGCTCACGGTTGGAGCATGCGACTGCTGGGGCCTCTTTGACTATCTCTTTGCAACCCGCTCTCCTTGTGTCCGCGGGCAGGTGCCATGAAATGGCACACGAGCTCGGAGCAGGTGTACTACTACCTGGAACGAGGGTTCGAAGCTGGGCAGGTCGACAGTATCAGGTGGAGACGCTGGGGGGTGGGTACTCGGCGGTGCACTTCGGCTGGGCACCGTCAGCATGGAGGAACAAAATGGCTGGTTGCAGCCTCATCGTCAAACGTCGTCTGCGCTTGAAGGACGTGGTCGACATATTTGCAGCGTATACAAGGTCGCGATGGAAGTCCAAAGGTGAAGAGTGGCAAGTTTGACATCGTGCCAGCAGTGGGCTACCCTCCACCTAAAGGGGCTATCCGGAAGGCCGCAGTACAGCAAACTGCTGTCAGAACGACGCACTCGTGGATCGACTCGGTGGCGGAGAACACGGAGATGCGCTCGCTGCTCGCTGCCGGCATGGACTTTAGTAGCGGCTGCGGCGCAAGGAGTGATGGTGTGCCTGTGGC